TGCCACGCCATGTGGGTCACCTCTGGGGGGGGGAGGATCGAACTCATGCTGAAGTGACTTTAGCTTCTTAGTACTGTGCTTTAACCTGTTGCATCACCAGGGAGGGTCTTTTGTTTTATTTTTTAAATATTTATTTATTTATGCATACAGAACTGGGGTACAGGACAGAAGTGTGGGGGTGAGAGGATCCACCCCAGACAGAGTGGGGGGCAGAAAATGCTGACTGACAAAGTACACTGCTGAGGGGAGCAGCAAGCAGGTCAGGAGCAGTGGGCAGGTCAGGGGAGGTCTGCCGCACCATGTGGGTCGCCTCCGGGGTGGGGATCGAACTCATGCTGAAATGGCTATAGCTTCTCAGTGCTGTGCTTTAACCCACCATGCCACCACGGAAGGCCCAATCATGGTATCTTTAATGTCCTGTGCAGAATCCTTGTGACGTCTGTCTAGGTCTCTAGGATTGTCCTCCTTGGGCCACTGCTGTCCAGAACCAGCTGCAGTGCTCTGAGGAGCACAACCCCAGGGGAAGTCAGGTTTGACAAGCGCCTATCAACAGCCACTGTTGAGCTGCTGTCAAGAGACGGCATCCGCTGCCCACGGCGAGTGAGCTACCTTAGACCGCCAGCTCTATGGGCTTTCAAAAAGATGCAGCTGACATCTCAACGCAATTGCCTGAGAGTTTCAAACAAAAATACCCAGAGCCATGAGATGTAACAAATTCTTCTTCTAAGCCACCAGATTTACATGTGGCTTCTTAAACATTATAGAAAACCAAGGTGCTTGATGGGTCCCATGATAGAAATGGGCGTTTGAGATGTTGGAAGACCCCATGTGGAGATGTTCCAGAGCTACTCAGCTAGATTTGATACAGTGCAAGTGTGGAGCACAAGGAGAAGTCCCAGGCTGCATCTTTTGATGGGGAGTGTGTGGGCGTGCTTAGCACACGGCACACAGAATGAAGCCAGGAGAGTAGGGAAAGAACCTAGAACATTGCTATTCTGAAAACAGCAGCATTCTGAGCAACACAATGCTTAGGGATCAGGAAGAAGAGGATGAGTCAATGAAACAAATGGAGAAGTCACTGCCACAGAGTCAGGAAGAAAGCCCAGGTGAACTTGGCATTGTAGTGGCTAGGTGAAAAGAACATTCCAGTAGAAGGCACAGGGCATCAATTAAGTGACACTGAGAGCTCAAACATGATTAAGACAGAGACTTCAGGGGTGCTCCAGGCACAGCCTGGGAACTCCAGAAGGCATCAGGTACAACGAGGGGTTGTCAAGGAGTCGGCAGAAAGGACCATGACCAGGCCCCACCAAGAGTGGGAGGGAGACCACGAAATGACCAGCACACAGTGTGCTCCAGAAGGCCGCTGCAGACAGAGAAGAGGAAAAGAGCTGGAGTAGGGGGCAGGGTCTGAAGACACGAGAGCCTTCAGACAATCACATGTCGACTGGAAGGTGACCGAAGAGTGGGGGGATTTTGAAGATACGCTTTGGATTCAAGGATACTCATGGGGAGGTGATCCTTGTTTTGCGAGAGAAAATGGTAAAAGGACACCTCCAGACAGATCTGGGGATGCAGATGTGTTTCTTGATCAACTTCCCAAGGTTTCCATGTGGTTGTTGCTGAGTGACATTCAAGGTCCTCTGTGGAGAGAGCTGAGGGGTGAGCTTGAGCACAGCAGGAAGGTCTGGTATAAGTGTTGAGAACCGTGGGAGAGAGTTTGTAAGAAAAATCAGGTAACCCCGCCAGGCTTGCTTGAAGCTGGTGGGTCGAGAGAGAACTATGATGATTCCTTCTTTGCAGGTATTATTATTCCCTCTTTCCATGTGAGAAAATTGAGGCTCAAAGGGGTTAAGTAAGTTGCTCAAGGTGACAAAGTCAATGAGGAGAGAGCTAGGATTTGAATACAGGCCTGGGTGGTTCTTTTCGGTATACCAAGCTAAAGAACTCTTTGGTCAGGGGGACAGTTTTAGTTTCTGAAGAGACTGGTGTTTGAGAACGAAATACTTGACTCTTACCTATACACCCGTTCACCTACGATCCCCACCCCCCCGCCCTTTGACAATTTCTCTGAAATCTGTAGTCAAAGTAATCATCAATAAAGCATCAAAACATATAACCATATTCTCTGAAATACTACATGGCATTTAGAAGTTTTGCTTCAGTGTGAACTTAGCAGCAAGCAGGGAGTGTCCTGAACCCTCAAGACCACGGTTATGGTAGGACATTGAGGAAAGAGTAAAACAGGACACATAAGAGCCCCGTCTGCAGGTGGAGTGAGGCATCTCGTTGTGTGCCTACGCTCAATTCTAGTGAACTCCCGTTAGAGTTCTAAGAGGTTTTTGGGGTTACAATCAAGAATTTCTGAAGAGCTGATATGATCTGAGTCTCTGGGCATTTAACCAACAGCAGTGGTGGGTGCAGGTTCACGGAGGCAGGAGGCAGTCCTCACAACTAGCGCCTCCCAGCTGGCACCCAGCTGGAGCAGCAAAACACAAACACTAGGGACCCTTACCTGGAAAACTGGAACGAAGAATCCCCCAGTGGCGGGCTCTGGGGCTACATAAGACATCATAAATAAGACAAGAAGGGACTATTTTGGAGCTGATATTGGGGGCAAGATCTGAGCTCAGAGACAGCTGTCTCTGTAAAGACAAACTCCTGCCGGCCCTGCGTTCAGGTGACGGGCTGGAAGGTGAGATGGTCTCCAGCCTGCCAAGCTCATCCCCGGGCATCTGTCAGCGCTCCCTTCCTGGGGAGGCCAGGAGGCAGGCTCGTCACTGACACACAGAAGCAGCTGCTGCCTCACACACAGCTGTGCCGGGTGCACCCTGCAGGCACGCGGGGACTTCAGAGTAGTAGCTTCTGCCAGCGTGGGCCACAGGCCTTGTAGATTGTGAAGTTATCTGAGTGAGCTTTAGCTAGCACTCAGTGTAAGCGGGACGGAGTATGCAGGACATAAAAGAGCAAGGCGCATTTCGCAACGCACACAAGTTTTATCTGGGAAACGCACTGCAGATGTGCACGGTCTGCCTTGGGGGCCTGGAATAACACATTTCTCAGGACAGTCGTGGCGTGCAGTTCAGAAGTCACTTTTGAAAAGCTCCAGCCCCAAGGGATTTCTGAAGCCGTATTTATGGGATGTTTTCAGAAATATGTGTCTTCTCGGGATGACTAGAAATTTTCTTGCAGATCTGAACTACTCAGCACCTCTCCCAAGGCTACTAAGCAAATAGGCGAAGCAGCCAGGATTTGAGAAAAGGCGTGAGTGCGCTGGGGAATGCTGGTTCTCAGCAGATTGTCCCGGCAGAACTCCGGAACCAGCAAGAAGCCATGGGGGAGCTCTGAGTTCACAGCTTTCTCAGTATTAGGCTGTTCAGCTACTGTGAAACGAATGGACACCTTCTATTTTTTCATTTTTATCATAATAAGCAGGTGGGATGTTTTAAAGCCAATAAAACATCCACAACAAGCATTTTTCTCTTCTGTGTATAAAAGTCCCCTGCCTGTGTGGTTGATTCCTGACACTGGACCATCTACATACACCATCGCCTGAAGACAGCCTCAGTGGGTGCTGTGGTGGGTGTAGGGTAGTTATCCTGTACCTCTAAATCTCACAAGTGTTGTAAACAAATATTACCTGAATAAAGGAAAGAGTCTAAAATTCAATCTACAGAAACCCAAAATAGATCAACTTAATTTCTGCATAGATACTTTGTCTGTTCAGATGTGGGTTATCAGTGTACAAAAAATTAAGCAACTGTTAAAAATAATTAGACTTCACTTAATTGAAACTTCTTGCCAACAGTTTCAAACGGGAAAGCTTGTCTTTGCTTCTCTTGCCTTCGCTGTGCAGGGACAGCCCCTGTCCTCATGTGTGGGGACATGTCCGTCACCAGCTGACAGTTTTCTGGAACGTGGGTGACTGCATAGAAAGGGTCTGCATAGAGGTGGGCGTGGGGGTTTCATTATTACTATGCAAATCTAATGTCTCATGAAAGCCCTCATCTCCTTGAGATGTGTCAGGAAGTACTGTACAAATGAAACAGAAGATGGGAAAAGAAAGAACCAAGAAATGGCAAAAACGCAAGTCACAATAAATGGGCCACATAAGAACAGCGGAAGACATCAACAGTCAGCACAGACATAGCATCGCTGCTGTCTGATCTGGCCAACAATCTAACCGCTGAAGATGGACGTCGTCGACGCCCAGGCATTCCACAAGTATTCTTACCTAGGGAAAGAGAGGAGGGCACCCTTCGAGGCCAACAAAGTATTTACGAGACAAAAACCGATCTTGATCTAGTTCGCTCGAGATAGGAAGTGTTGTGACATTTTGCAAAAGGTCAGGGGATGCCAGAAACCAAGACCTATGTTCATATGCACAACCAAATAATCGACTGCTCTAGATGGCATGCATTGTCCATAGGCACATTTGTACATGTTTCTGGGCATCAGACACTGGAAAAACAAAGTACCGCATACTCCAAACTCTTATATCCCATTTTAAATTCAGAGCCAATTGATTTGGAAGTCTGGTAGTTCACAGTGCAAACTTCTAGAGGTTTAGAAAGGGCAAACAGAGAGAAGGTCAATCAATTATAATCCTGTGATACATTTGGTATTTAAAGGCTTTCATAACAAATTTAATAGAGTATTCCAACTCTACATACTCGTTGAGAGAAGCAAAGCTTAAAATACCCCAGGTGATATAAAAGGTGATACACTGCATTAGAATCTAAAAATAAAACGAAATACATGCTGACAGGAGGCAAGACGAAAAGCCTCGCCTTCAAACGAGAAGGCAGAAATTGCATTATTTCTATTAAAAAAAAATCTGAAGTGTCAAATTTTCAATGCAACAATAAAAAACACTCCTTAAAAGATGCTCTTTCTAATTTTCAGCCCTTCCCCTGTGCTGTCTACAGCTGCATGGGAGGGCACAACGAATCTGGAAAAGAGGGAGAACAAGAAGAGAACGGGACATGCGATCCCCTTACCGTTGTCGCCAGAAGGTAATGACACGGTGTTCGTCGGCATGGTGTCAGAATTCACTTTTCCGTTCTCAAATGTATCATTTTCACTCTGCTGTAACTGCCAGTTGAGGCCAAACAGATGCATTGCTGGGAATAAAGCACAGAAGTTGTTTCAAAGCCTCTGCTTTGAGCTGTGGTGGCAAATGGTACGCGTGTTTATAATGAGAGTCGCAGGTAGAGTTACATTTGCCATGTTTGGAAATATCCAGGAAAACTGCAGAATCAAAAGTATCAAACACACAGTCCCTTCAGTGCAATTTGTAACAGTGCAGCGCAACCTGGCGCATTTTAATAATGACTTGATACTCCTCAGTAAATTGGTCCCAGGACACTCAGGAATGAATCATTATTTGCTCGGCTTCGTCCAGTTCCACTCTTTACCATCACTTGACCACGCGGCAGAATGTCCGGCAGCACTCGCCAGATTTACAGAACCACAGGCTGCCTCCCGCACGGACAGCACTGTTGCAACCTCTACGTAGCCTGGAGAAGAGACACCAGGCATGGTGCAGTGATCACTGTTTTGGGCTGTGGCTGATTTTTTTACTGCTACGAGTGAAACCATCCAGTATTTTTTTTTCTTTTTCTTTCTGGCTCAGTTCACTAAGCATGATCCAGCTGCTGCAAAAGGCATGAGTTTATTTTTTTTGATTGCTGAGTAATATTTCACTGTGTACATGTATGTGGCTAGATTTTTTAATTCTATGACTTGGATAGGCGACGTAATTTTGTCCAACATAAGGTTTACCTGAAAAAATGAGGCAGATTAAACCTACCTTACTAATTGACCTGCATTTCCTAGACAGTATGTCAATAGCAGGGCAGTTGGTGGCCTATAGGTATTCACGTCTTGATTCTGCCCTGCAGATGACAGAACTTTCTAGAATCATCTGAGCAGATCAGGATGTTTTTCAGTAGTCCCTGAGTATGCAATGGTCTCTGCCTGCTGTAAAACCCCCTGCTTGCTGGCGCAGCCTTTCCTGGCTGGGTTAAGTGTTCCTCCTGAAGCTGTTTCAGTACACTTTTAAGCGTGTCCATTTACCTTATATGGAGCTCAATGACGCCTGATCCGTCTCAGTAAGTACCTATCAGATAAGTGAATTCAATTTCCTGAGGTTTGAAAATCCAAGATAAACTGTTATAGGTACGAGTGTAGTGATTGTAACAAAAAGTGAATAAATATAAAACAAATACCTAAATAGAGTGGTCTGTTACATGATTAACAATTAACTAACACCTGCCTTAGTGACATGCTATATGCAAAGCAGCTGAATAAAAACTCTCCGGCCCTATATATCATTGATCGAATTTTTTAAAAGATGCCTAAACTTTGGGACAGTCTATGTGCTTCTTTTTGCTATAGGCATTTATACCTGTAGGTTATTTCATATCTTGATTCTGTCCTCCAATGACAGAATTCTTTCATGAACAATATAGGCTATAAGGTCTTGCTGTAGAAAAGAACAGACCAAGCGCAGTTACAAACCCAGTACGTCTACTCTGTGTTTGTAACAAACGTATATACTCACTCCCTGCTTAAATGACAGGCTGCCTGCCATTCCCTTTAAACGCTTATTTTTCACAGATTAGGATATAGGTTATAGAATTTGTGAATTTATAAATTGTCAACTTGCAAAAGAGGTATAACTTCAAATGTCATTAAATTATGTAGTGTCTGAATACAAAATGTCAGGAACTTTCTAAACATTTATCACTTCATACATTTCCCTCCCCACCCCCCCAAAGTTTCAGCTACTGCAGCAAGTTTTGAATAAAATAACAGAAGCTAGTTCCGCATATAGGAAACAGACAGACATACTTGGGCATAGTTATGATGAATATACCAATGGGGCCGAAGTTGCTGGACACGAAATCACTTCTCGTTGTGAGCTTTTATGTAACATAAAAGCCTTATTGAAGGATAGCTTTCACATATTACTGGATTTAATAACTTTGAAGAGTAGGCTAATCCGGGATGGGGCACAGATGTCAAATGTTACAACTTGATGTTTATATTTGGAGCACTAATTTATATTTTTCCAGTTGGGCAACAGATTTTTTTTTTAATTATAGAAAATCTCAATAAAAAGGGATGCTATTTCTACAGAAGATGTTGTGTAATGAGAACCCTATATGATAACTGATCTTGATTAACGCTGCCTTGAAGACCAAGTTTGCTTGGTCCTAGGATAATGCGTACATGGAAAATGTCAGTATTTGGTATTTAGTGAAGCACTTGATGCTCTTTTTGCATAATTTGAGATTTTTATACAAATATAGGGTATGTGTGAGACTGCCTTTAAAGTTAATCAGGAGAGGGGACAGCAAATTAATAGAATCAAGAACACTGCAGACCTTACTGAGGGCTGGGTCATAAAACTATACAGAATGACGTGGCAGACAAAGAAAGGGAGAATTAGTGAACTCAAATGTACGTGTCAATAAGGAAGGGAGCCCAGTTCTTCTATGCCTGAGATGGGAAGCAGACTGAAATCCAAGAAGGGAAAACCTTTGCGGCCACCGTTCATGAACACAAGGGAGCTTTGGTCCACATGGGTCTGGTAGGAGGGGAACAGGGCCTGGGAGCTCTGGAGTTTTCTGTGTGTGTCAGTGCTCAGGTGCAGTGCTTAGGTAACCTGTGGAGCAGGCTGACCACCACACAGTCTCTCAGCCACAGGCGTTGTTCCTCATGTTGGGGAGAGAACACTGTCACAAGGTATGATTTAAAAAATTAAAACAGGCACTTAACACTTATGGTATTAGGTCATTTAATCTCATGAAGACTCCAGCAATAGTTACTGTTCTATTTTTACTTTAACACAGAGAAAACTGACGCTCTGTTGAGGGTTTAAGTTCCAAGCCAGTAAGTGGTAGACCTTGACCTTAAACCTGGACCTGATAACAACAGGCTTTCGGTTCCACGCCTCTCTATTCTACCAGAGGGCAATGGAGTACAACATTCTATACAGAAGGGAGCGAAATGTAACTTCGGAAAGGACCACAGGTTACAGATAATGCTTTTCTGGTAGATCTCAGAAACAGATGGCAAGACAGTATTTGGGGGTGGAGAGTGGACAGCAATAGTAACATTTCAGCATTACAGGCACTGTCCTGCCATTCAAGTACTTTCCTACTCTATAGTCCTAAAAGAAATGTTCACAGTCATATAACAGTAAAGTGACAAACTATTCTGCTTAATTCCAAGAGTATAAAAAGCCACAATTAAAAAATTCCATCAGTACACACTGTTTCTGCATGTTTTCAAATGAAAGAAATAGTATTCATGGAAACGTAATCTTTAAAAAATTTTGCTCCTGATATCCTGTTTCATAGTTTTGTATTATTATTTCTTTGTATTTCTAGGGGGATTTTAATGAATGGGGGGTTTGGGCTGATTTCATATCCAAAATATTAAGGCAGAAAGCAGTATCAGTATGTCTGTTCATTGTGTTTTTCACATTTTAAAATATCTCAGAGTCTATTATTTTCTAGTATGTAGCATGTGGTAGAAGACACAGGCAGAGAGAGGGCAAATGACTTACAAGTCCTGACAAGTTAGTTATAAGATGTCAAGACACCAGATCTTCTCACCCTATTTCAGGATTCCTTTTCATACATTGTGCTGTTTTCCTTCTTCTCTGAATTGCTCTGAATTAAAACTAAGCATGCACATGAAAGAAATGGAAAAGAATTTAACACAAGATGTTAATTTATCTAATTTGGGGACAGCAAATAGAATCAGAAGTTGTTCAGCATTAAAATTGGCTTCTAAAAAAATTGACTTCTAAATACAAGATGTTTAACAGCTACAAATGGTTACATTTTGTATGCACAAATAAATAAATCTTAAAAAAATCTAAATATATGACTGTAGAACGAGGTTACTAGAGTGGAAAGTGGGAGGCAGGGAACAAAGAGCGGAGGGGTTACTCTGGTATTTGGGGGGGACACTGGTTACTTGGGCAGGAGTAGTGTGGTGACACTGAACTGAACCATGCAGTGTTATGAACCAAAGTTACCTCAATAAAAAAAGTTACAGGAAAAAAATTATCATATAGGCACACAGTGGGATTCTATACAGCGGTGCACAAGAAGATGCCAGTGCCAGAAGCAATGATACAGCAACACTGTACCGAAGTGCCACTGAGCAAGGGGACCCATAGACCAAACATGTGACTGTGGTGTACGGCCAAGTGCATAAAGTTTAAAACGCATAAAGTCAACTGGTAAACACAAAAGTCACCAGAGTGGTGCCTCTAGTGAGGAAGGGGCGAGTAGTGACTGGACAGCCCACAGGGGCTTCCGGAGGGCTTGCTAACCAGAATAAAAACATCCTGGCTTCTCCCTCTACCAAGGTACGTGATCACCTTTATCATCCACCAAATATTTCTTACACAATGAGAAGCATTCCTTCTCTCACCTCTTAGTTTTTATTTTCTCTAGACTTTTCCAGTAATTGAAGTCATTTCCTCATCAATTGAAATGATTTTGAGCCAATATGCCAGGAAGGTTCTATCTGTGAAACTCTATGAAGAGATTTTCTTTCAGGCTCAAAGATCATTCAAGTGAGAGAAATCACAGCATACGTTCCGACATCTCTTTATTCTTCAAGGTGGACGGAGATGAAAGGAATCCGTGGTGTTACGGTTATTTTACCTCCTTCTCATCGGAAAAAAAGAGCATGCCATTGTTTTTAACCAATCTATGTTGGTTTGATACTAAAAGTCAGCATGTGGTACACTTGAAACCAAAATGTACAATTAAAGAAAATTATATACTGCCATGTAGCAAATTCAGTGCCATTTTTAGTTCCATGTTGAGAGAAACGGTGCCCAGTTCTCATCTTGTCCCTGGGGACCATGCCACCGAAGTTGTTATCTCAGCTACTATTATTTCTCCTGGCATGCCCAGGTCCTCTGATGCTGCCAACTAAGGATGGGAAGGAGGTGGTGACAGCTGTTTCCATGGTCCAGCAGACTGCCAGAACCCTGGAGGAAATTACAGGGGAGGCCGTGAAGTGAACGCAGAACAAGCACCCTCGCTACCCAAAGCCCCAGTGTAGCGGCCGTCCCCTCCCCCCAGAAGTC